TTTGAACAGGAAATGTTGTCAATGTCTTTGGAAATTTTGACAATGAAAACAGGTGTATTGCTGATAATTCTCAAAGTCTCGTGGTTGTGAACCCTGATGTACTTATATCTGCAACTTCTGTCGCTGATTCCTTTATATGTATGAGGAAAAATATCTTAAGTGAACGATTTAATGGAATTTTTTGCTTAAATTCATCGACGGCATATGGAAGTTTATTTCATGAGTTAATTCAATCGTGCCTTATCCAAAATAATTTTACCTGTCAATTTATGGAATCAGAGATATCAAAGATAGTGAAAGGATCTATCGAAAGACTTTATTCTGCGGATTTGAATGAAAATGCTGTAATTAGTGAGCTCATGAACGCTATTCCAACGATCCGTGCGTGGGCAGATAAATTCGTTGGTGAAATACCAAACCCAATAGAAGAGCATCTTTCTACCAGCAAAACAAAACTTTCCATATCCATCTGCAACGTTTTGAGCGTTGAAGAGCATATTTGTTCTACAAAATATGGCCTTAAAGGAAAAATTGATGCTTCTATCGAGGCTAAGGTATCACAGAATGGTGTATTAAAAAGAGTAATAATGCCCCTCGAATTGAAAACATCTAGGAATATATCACCATCTCATTATGCGCAGACAATCTTCTATTGTCTTCTTATGAGTGATAATTACGATATTGATGTAGGATCTGGACTATTATATTATTTAAAAATACAAAGTGATGAATCAGGGAAGATGTTAAATGTACCTGCTGTTCCTCATGAATTGCGAAGTCTAATTATTCAACGGAATCAATTGGCGTGGTATACCTTAGACGATCAACGATCAATATTACCACCAATGCTTAAGAACGAATTCCAATGTAAAAATTGTAGTTTTAATGCGTCATGCTTTCTATATCACAAAGCTATCGAAAATGGCACAAGCGAATCTAGTGGCGTAGTTGAAATATTCAATAATAAGGTTGCACATTTAAAAGACCATCACCTTGATTTTTTTCGCAAGTGGGATGAACTCATTACACTGGAAGAAGAAGATATGTATCGGTTTCAGCCAGAAATTTGGAATATGCTTGCCTCAAACTGTGATGATGACCAATGCCTTAACAATATGTGTTTGGACTCAGAAACCATCGAAGCTATTCCAAATGGTGAAGGATATCGCCAATTTAGATGCAAATTCATACGTAAAATTGGAAAAGCAAATTTTGTGTTCGATACTCAATTTTGCATAGGCGACCATGTCATTGTATCGTCTGAATTAGACCATCGTACAGTCGCTAGCGGCTTCGTCGAGGACATTGCGTCAAATTTTGTTTGGCTCACTTTGGATAGAATACCTCGTGGTGATTCCAAATGTAATACCGACTTTGATATTGAATCCTGTCATAGTTTCTTGTGTGCATCGGAAGATACTGCACGCTCTAATTTAAGATCTGATATTATGGATACATTTTATCGGATTGACAAAGATGAGTTGACTTCTAGCATGAGACTTATTAGACAAAATCTTGTAAGCCTTCTTGTAGATGAAGAGACCTCAAAACTTAGAAGACTGATCGTGGATCTCGAACCACCTTGCTTTAATAAATCTACCGACACAATGCCTAGTATTGTTGATACGAAAAGTCTGAATGATGATCAAATTAAGGCTATTAAATTGGCTTTAGATGGTTGGTCATTTGTTGGATATACATGTACAGTCAACTCTTTCTATATCGAACCTTGGGGCTTATTAAGAAAAAGTTCAGAACGTGCATTTAGTACTTAAACCGAATTTCAACATTAAAGTTTGATTTATCCAGGTCCGGTTCAGGGAGAGTTGACTGGATTACTGTAATCTTCGGCATATAGTATATACCTGTTAAAATATTTCCAAATTTTATATTCTGAGATTATCTCACAAATAAGTTGTAGTAAAACTATTTGGGACGACAAACCATACGACAGTTAGTATCACGGTATTTATGGCCTTATACTTGTCAAAATCATATAAGACTAGATGTCATATTGTTTGGGTCGTCCCAAATAGCTTGGACTGCATTCACATTTAAATTATATAGAGGATCCTTAAGAATATAAGAAACTCAAAATACTATTTGCCAAGAATTATGATATATATGTAATTAAATATTCTAATGTTTACAATTCCCTGTAGCACAAGATTATGCTATTCTCTTAGGAATGCCTGGAACTGGTAAATCAACCACGATAGTGCAAATCATAAAAGCACTTGTAAGCAGTGGAAAATCGGTTTTATTGGCTGCTTATACGCATTCGGCCGTAGACAATATTCTTTCCAAATTACTTAACGAGGAAATCGACATGCTGAGACTTGGTTCCAAAGCAAAAGTTCGTTCAGAAATCGAGCCTTATTTGTTAAACATTAACCAATACGACAATGTTGACATGTTCAGAACATTTATTGAATCAAAACAAGTGATTGCTACTACATGTCTTGGTATAACACAGTGTGTTTTTTTTTTTTTTTCTAATAGTTGTCGGTTATGTTAAAACGAACGCGATCTTATTTATACTTTTATACAAAGTTACATATTTTCAAAGTGTAGATTCGATTACTGCATTATAGATGAGGCAACGCAAGTGACACTTCCTATATGTGTGGGACCGCTTCGCTTTGCAGATCGATTTCTTTTGGTTGGTGATGATTTTCAATTGCCACCATTGGTACGGAATCATGAAGCCATTGAAAAGGGAATGGGAAAAAGTCTATTTACAACGTTGACTGGAAAGCATCCACGAGCAGTCACAAGGCTTCGATATCAATATCGTATGCATGAAGATATCATGAATTTGTCTAATTGTCTGATATACGATTACAAGATGCTCTGTGGGTTGCCAACAGGGCCAGAAAGTTTTTTGAAAATCCCAGGATGGAATAATAATTTTTTGTCACAGTTTCACAAAGAAAATGACAATCGTTGTAAAGAGGAATGTTGGCTTCAGACCGTTCTTGATCCATGGAAACCAGTTGTAATGGTCGATACCGATAATCTTGAGGCAAGAGAATCCAGAGGACTGAATCAAAATAATGTGGAAGCTTTACTTATTGAGCAATGCGTTAAAGCTATGCTGATAGGCGGCGTACCTCAGACTGACATTGGCGTCATTACACCTTTTCGGCATCAGATTAAACTTCTGTCACAGAAGTTTAAAGATTTTTCGAAAATTGAAATTAGCACAGTTGATAGATTTCAGGGCAGAGAAAAAAAAGTCATTGTCGTGTCTCTGGTGAAAGCGAACGTTGATTATAGGGTAGCGATCAAAAGTGAAAGTATTTATATCGTTTTTGAAGCTTATTTCAATTCACATATTCCTTTTTTTTTAAGGTTGGTGATATTCTAAAAGACTATCGCAGATTAAACGTGGCAATTACTCGTGCCCAATCCAAATTAATTATTTTCGGTAGCAAGTCAACGGTCTCCGCATCGGAAATAATGCGTAATATTATAGAACATATACAAAATGCACATTCGGTAAGTGTTATATAAACATATGGGATCTTTGCTAGGAAAATGACCCTCCGAGGCTATGTTGATTTTGTGAATAAAAATTAAATTTGCCGACCATCTA